TTGTTCTTTCTTGTGGAAATATTTTAGTTTTCTGTTGAACTTGAAGAATAGTTTGGCAGGATACATCAGTCTTGGTTAGAGGCTGTTTTGTCTCAGGACCTGCAGTACTTTGCTCCAAGCTCCTGTCAGTTGGTTTGTGTTGAGGAGTCTGTTGTGATTCTGATGGATTTTCCTTTATAGATGATCTCTTTCTTTTCTCTAGCAGCTTTTAATATTCTGTTCTTTTGCTGAAGATCTGGAGTCTTGATTATTATATGTCTGGGTGTAGTTTTATTTGGGTTATGACTAGTTGTAGGTCTATATGCCTCATTTACCATATATCAGATTCTGTTTCCATGCTTGGAAAATTTCTGCTATTATTTCTGCAAATATTCTTTTTATGTCATTTGTGTTGCCTCCTGCTGTTTCATTGACTTCTATTAATCTTTCATTATTCCTCTTTGCCTCGTCTTGAAGCTGTTGAATTGATTTTTCCTGGTTCCTTGTTGATTTTAAGAGATCCTTTCTTTCACAATCACTAGCTGCCATGCTGTCTTCAAGATCTGAAATTCTATCTTTGGCTGTATTCAAGTGGTTTTGCCACCTTTCAGTGGAAGCTTTGTTTTCCTGGATGTCTCTTTGAATCTGTTTGCATTCTAGTTCATTCCTATATTGTTCATTTAACGTTTCCATCCATTGCCTATGTCCATCTATTTTTTTATATATTTCTTCTTTAAATGTGCTGAGCAATTCTTTCATTAATATTGTCATTTCATTTTCTGCCTGAGAGATTATTTCTGATCTGATCTCTTCTGTGGCCTGATAGAGTTGTTTCTTCACTTCCATTGCAATCATTTCAGCAATTTCAGGTGTGTGTTTATCAAGTTCTCCTATTTTGATGTCTCCTGGACATGTTCTGAGTGGGTTGGAGATCTGAGATTGCATTTTAGTCCTTCATCTTGCTGGATCAGGCAATTTTTACTAGAGAAAGGTACTGGAGTGCACCATGTGCATACCTGAAGAAAGAGCATTCCAAGTTGTATCAGTTTGTTTTCTGTTGTTATAACAAAAACTCCATGGCTGGGTACTTTATTCAGCTCACAATTTGGGAGGCTAAAAGTCCAAGATGAGAGAGTGCCAAGTTGGTCCTCTGGTGAGAGTACCCTTGACTATGTCACAACAAGGTGCAACAGAGCCAAGGGAAATCATTGCAAGCAAAAGAGTCCAAGTACATAGAGTGTATAACATACTCTAATGAAAACCAACCAGCATTCCATGAGGACTACAATAGTTCTTCCTGAGGGCAGTGACATAACTACCTTCCAGCAGGATCACCTCCTCACTTTCTACCAGTCTCAACATTGCCACACAGGGGACCATGCTTCTAGCACATGAGTCTTTAGGGAACAAAACTCATTCAGATCCTAGCAACAGCAAGCTCATGTCCCAGGGTTGAAGAGCACCTGAAACATTCAAAAGCAGCAGGAAGTCCCTATGGTTGCAGCATAGTGAGTGTCATGGGAGGTAGTAAGGATGGCAAAGGGATGAAAGAGGAAAAGATTGTGTAGGTCTTTGGAAAACTTTTACACTTGAACGACATGGGAAGTCACTGTATTTAGTACAGGAGTGACATGATCAAAGGAACAGGATCCCTCTGGCCACTGTGAGGGAGTAACTTTGAAAGGGATAGGATCTGTGATAGAGGGAAGGACAAAATCAGGAATATTAAGTAGGCATTTATTTCTGAAATCTAGTGTCACAGTCACCAGGCTATGACCAAAATTATTTGGTAATAGATGTAAAGCACCGAGTGTATAAATGTGACAAGCTTTCCTGATAGATCAAATGTGATGCCTTGGAAGAGTCCAGAATGACTCTGAGGTTTAAAACCTGCTACGATTTTAGTCTGTCCCCCAGCATTCATGTATTGGAACTTTAATTCCTGATGTGTTTGAGATGGCAGGTGGAATCCAGTTTGAGGTGCTGTGGTCATGGGGACAGAGCCCTCATGGGTGGATTAATGCCTTTTTAGGTACCATGGATGTTTTCCCCTTTTCCCTCTTTCACATGTGCCAGCTAACCTTTCTGTTTTGCCATAAGGTGAAGTAGCATGAGGTCCATGCCAGAAGCCAAGCAGATTCTGGCACATGCTTTGACTTCCAAATCTCCAAAGCACAAGACAAAATAAACTCCCTTTTTTTTATAAGTCACCCTTTCTGCTATAGCAACAGAAAACAGACTAAGACAGTACTTAAGCAATGAGAAGAACATTTCCCTGAAGTGAATTGGGAAAGACTTTTGCAATCATGGCTTAGAGAAAGAAAGAATGGAGTTGCTGGTACTACTATTCTTCCTCTTCCCTTTATAATTATTGCCATTTTTATAATGAGAAGTAGATTCATCAACATTTTCCCCACATTTCTAACCCTGTCAAGTACTGTAACAGACTTTCTATTGTTTTCCTAGAAAGTAATGAACAGCCGCACATCCACCCCATGATTTGCTCAGATCTTTACACCGAGATGATCCCTTTTAAGATCTACTCTTGCCCCTTAGAGCAGATGCACAGTGGGCACACCTCTCCAGTGTGGACATGGAGCCCTGACTCTGTCCCTTTACTGCCGAAGTCACATCATTTCCCTTTTCCCCAAAAATACCTATATGTTTTATATGTCACTGTTCTTCGCTTTTCTTCATTTTAGATACTTTTCTTCCATTTACCCAATTTTTATGAATCCTTCCCTCAATTCTTCCACACTGACAATACTGCCTGATATTATTCCCATTCATTCTCCTATCGTGCTTCAATCCCACAACAAATCTCCTGACCTGTCTTCCTATCTTACCCTTTTCCTCCAGATCTCAGTTAAAATTCTTTCCTATGGAAAATCAGTGGATGTCTCTAGGTCTGCTTGCTCCTCTGTAAAATAAACAAATTATGTTTGATTATCTTCAAAGGTATTTTAAGTTTTAACTTTTGGCTCTGTATTTAGATTTTCAGTGTTGCTGGGGTTTTTCAGTTGTTTATTATTTGTTTATTTTTGTCTTATGTGGTGAGTTTTCATTTCCTAACTTACTTTCAAATCTCCCATTACTGTAATCATTTCTTGTGGTGGATTGACTACTGGTGGTCAATTTGTAACACCCAGCTGAACTGAGTAAGTGTGGTGTGGGTTGTGGGAAGCCCACCTGAGGATTGTTGCCAGCAGCATAGGAGGTAGAACTGAAGAAGTGAGGCTGTTGGGAGCTGGTAGAAGCTGTTGGGAGCCTGTTGGAAGCTGTTGAGAAGCTGTAAGGAGATGTTGGTTCTCTTGGAGGACCTTGCCATGCTGGCTTTCCTGATGAACTTGGCTGTTTTCATCCTCCAAGGAGCTCAGGACCTTGTTGGCACTGAGAATAGCTTTGGTTCACTTTAGGGGAACTCTGGCCCTCACTTTGAGCATCGCTTCCTGGCTCTGGAAGGGAAGATGGTGCACTGCCAGTCTCCTGGAGAAGCTTGCTGCATTGGCTTCCCTGATGGGAACTCAGCTGTCTTCATCACTGGAGAAGCTCCGGACCTCACTGTTGCTGAGGATGGCTGTGGTAATTTTGGCGGGAGCTTTGGTTCTTATTTTGAGCATTGCTTCCTCACTCCAGTGTAGATCCCTCAGCTTGCTAGCACAGATCCTTCATCCTGCTGGTGCAGACTTTCCAGATTCCACCACTAACCTTTGGGCCTTCCCAGTGCAGCTCTGTGAAACAGGCCTGCAGAAGACGTTGTCATGGGCTCTGGGCCTCCAGTTGGATTCCTGGGAGGCATTGTTATGGGTTCTACGTCTTCACCTGGACTCATGCAGGACATTATCATGGGATCCAGGCCCTCATCTGGATTCTCTGGTCCTTAGTCTGTCCTTAGGACAGATTTTGCACTCTCTTGTATATGATTCCTTGGATGACTATTATGAATAATCTTATAAAATGTGTGTCCTGTATTATATTGTTCCCCTTATAAAAACCCCAAACCCTAACATTTCCCAAATCCTAATTTCTTTTTTTTTCAAATGATTTTCACCTACAACATTAATTTTGGTCAACAGAAATGATTTTTTTAGATTTTTTCCTAACTATGGAACAAAATAGGAGAAGGATAAAGTTTGAAGTCTAAAAGAAAATGTCTTAGTTACTATTCTTGCCACTGAGACAAAACACCCAACTCCAAAGTTAAAGGCAGAAACATTTATTTAGTTCATAGTTTGTTCAGGTTTCAGTCCATAATCAGCTGGCTCCAAGGCAGGGTGGCGTGCCAGAGAGCATAGCAAAGGAGAAACAGTTCATGGCTAGCAAAAGACAGTAAAAGTAGCAAGCAGCAAGTGACAAGCAGTGAACCTCTTTATATCCCATATATTCTATCCAGACTACCTACCCTTAAGGTGGAAAGCACCCAGTGTGAGGCAATCTTAATCCTAGCATTGAATGAATGCTAGGATTCATTCCCAGCAGCATATCCTTGATCCAAGTATCACATACCCCAGATCCACCCACCTTCAAAAAGCACTACCTGTGACTGCAAAGCTGGGGGGACATCTAGACATAGACATAAGAGAATACAATTTGGGTATGTCCCTAACATGAGATAAATCTTATGATTTTCTTTGAGAAATCTGTGATTGAAAAGTTTTGTGGCTTAATTTGTAGCTCAGTGTTAGAACATGCATTTAGTTCAATCCTCAGCACCCTCCCCGCAAAACTACTGTTAACAACCATGATAAGCAGCTAATGACATCATATCTGATTTGGTTTTTTTCACATTCCTGAAGTTTTCATCCTCACTTCTTTGTGGTGTGCCCACTTTTGACTTCTTTTGTCCTGAAACTGCCAACACTTATAGTTGAATGAAAAAGTAATGCTAAAAAAAAAAGAAAATGTAATGGTAACAACAAAAAAAATTTATCTCAGCTGACTGTTCTTTTACAAACAAAAAACTCAGTTACGTTCTTCTGGATTTTAGAATTAGATGATAACAAAACAACTCATTCCCAAAGATTTTTTTTAAATACTTTTATTTCACAAAAATTCCACGTGATTTTGAAATAAGAGAGGTTTTCACAAGACATTCCTTCATAGTCCTAAACTGATTTTATTTATCAGAGCAAAAAAGAACAAAGGAAAAAATTCACCCAAAAAAACTCACTCTACAGTAGAAATCTTATAGCATTTTTCTTAGTGTTAAGGAATTTCACACACACACACACATTCTTATAAATATTAGTTAGAATATTCCATTTTTAAGATTACATTTTTACTCAGCACAATGATCGTAAGTGGGTTCTTGAATACATCAGTGATTTCTAGCTATTTTTAGGAAGAGAGCTGGACTTCCCAAAACTCAGTGCTAGTTTATAATTTTAACATTGTGAAACCATAGGAGAAATGTTTCCCGTCTAGCATCCTCTGGCTCAAGCCAATGTCATTTCCCGAATGCCACCACTGCAAGACTTCTCCTACTACTCTGAGCTCTATTGGAACTTGTCCTGTGTCCTTCTTGTCTTCATCCCTCCTAAATCAAAGTCTTTTATGCCTATCAATATACATTTGTAAAAGAACAGAAAAATTAACAAGCACTATATTTAATTTTCAAAAGTGTAGGCTTTGAGACAAAGCAGCTTTGTATCTCATTTCATTTATTCAGCATGTGGCAAGGGATAGCTGATTTAACCTCTCTGAGCCTTAGTGTCTTCACTTAAATAATGGAGATAATGAAACCTCTCTTGTAAGGTACTATGAAGATGGAACTGGGTGAAATGGTAAAGCACCTCATAGCACATAGAGGCACTCAATTAAAACATACTTTCCCATCCTATATTCTAGCATGTCACTCAGTTCAGTCCTACTCTACAGCTGGTCTGTCTCGGACCTGTACATTTTAAAAAACAAAGTCTTGCTCCTCTTTGCAGTTCCTGTAGAATCCAGGGGAATGAGCTGCATGTTCCAGGGGCACAGTAACTGAGTTGTGCTAAGCTGAGGGCTGAACCAGGATCACACTGCAGCTATGGAACAGTGATCTGCAGATTCCGGCTCTTTTAAAAATATAGTTCCCCTCACACCACATTGGCCTTCAGATAACTCACTATGATTTAAAATAATTTGCACAAAAAAGAATTACTGCTCTAAATTCTTTAGCAAGTTATCAGAACACTGTTCCATTTCTCACTGCTGCAGAGGTCAATCTTGTCCTGAGAGGGACAAAACAGTTCATGATTGTAAACTGAAAAATCAAGTTGTTCTAAAAACAGCACTGAGTCAAATAAACTTGAGTTACAGCTCCAGATCATCTCTTAGTAGCCGTGAGACTTGGGCAAGAGACCTATGCTTATTAAACCTCAATTAGAACAAAAAGAAGGATTATTTTGCCACATGGGGCTGTTGAGTAGATAAGGGAGGTGATGCCTAGGAATAGACTTTAATAACTATGAAACGGAAAGCAAAAACCAAGCCAGGAAAGTCACTACTCTGCCCATATGAGCTTGTCTTCTATCAGGTTCTAGGCTTCCACCTTTATTCCCTGCTTTGGCAAATGACCATATTTCAGTTCAGTTCAACAGAAAAGCAGTGTGCAGTGTGTGTGTGTGTGTGTGTGTGTGTGTGTGTGTGTGTGTGCGCGTGTGCGCGCACACATATGCACACTGGGTGTATGTGTATGTGTACATGTGTAACTGAGCATCCACACCGGTGATGAAAACCGCACAACCTGATGTCTTCTCCTCACCATTCCATAGAGTTACAGTGCAACAAGAAAGTGCTCTCACGAGTCTACAGCACAATCCAGTCAGCACTTGTAAAGGAAGGGACTCTTCTGCCTGCAGCAGCCAGGACTGCACACACCCTCTTTCAGTCTGATGCTGGAACAGCACTGCACCTCCTTACTGCCTTTGGCATTGTCTCCGGTGTCAGTCACAGCTTCCTTTGTAAAGTATTTCAAAGATACAGCCCAACCAAAGCATAACAGACAGCCCCAGATGAAAGGGCAGCCTGGAACAGGAATAAACGCCCACAGTCCTTTCTGTTCAGGTAAGATCTCTGTTTCTAGGTCATTTGACAAACATAACCTCAGATTCCTTAAGAAACTGGGAGTGAGGTGCAGGGCGCGGGGGTGGCCAGCTACAGATTGCATATGGAAGAACGAAGCTTCCCAAACTTCTGGTAAAAGTCTTCTTGTGCCCGAGCCAGGGCCTCTTCATCAATGTACACGACCGGCCTCTTGGCCATGAGGAAGTACTGCACCTTCCTGGGGTTCCAGCCCATCACGTACTGCAGCCAGCCACACACAGCCGCGGTGGAGCGGCCCACCCCGGCGTTGCAGTGGACATATACGGTGTGGCCCTTCTCGAGAAGTGCGTGCAGGAGGCACACAGCTTGGGGCAGCATCTGCACACGGCCTGGGTGGGAGAAAGCACAGCACACAGACTTGAATAAAGAAACCTCCACTTCCCCCAGCCCATCCTTACGCCGCAGTGCCTCACACGCTGAGGCAGAGATGCAACAGTGCTTAACTGCTTCGTTTACAGCAAGAAGTGAGGCAGGTTTCAAACTCAAGAATAACAAAGTGGAAGAGAGTCCAGAGGCAGTGGTCCCCCTGAACCCTCACTTGATATTGGTGCTCTTTTCAGTCCCTTCACAATGAACGCACATTTCCTTCCAAAGAAAAGTCAAGTATCACCTATTGTCAGAAGAATGGGCTCTCACACCTGTCAGAAGGGTTTGCAGAGATGGGGCCATGGCTTCAAAAGATGTCAAAGCAAACTGGTTAAGTCCTGTCACCTGCATTTCATTTCACCCAAATGTTCAAACAACAAGCAAATCCATACAGATTGAAGAATCAGTATTTTTCATTCATTGGATAAATGCAATATGAAGCAGAATCTAATATGCTCATTTTTATTTGCCTAATGGAATGGCTAATTCAGAGTTGATACATGTGGGATAACTGATCCCTCATGTATTCCACCCCATGACAGTGAATACTAACAGTGATTAACTTTCTGTCTTCCTGGGCAGCTATGACTACAGTTATTACTTGTTTCTGACTGCTAGATTGATTAGAAGATTATCCAGATGTCTTCTCCTCCTAAGGGGACATGCTACGCCCTGGTGAGCCTGAGAGGAACATGCCACAGTCATCCTTGTGCTACTGGGTGCCCATGTTTCTTCTGCTCATAAGTCTCACTGTAGAGACACTTAGTGAGCTAAGGATCGTATTTGGTTAGTTGATCTGGAGGGTGGGGGTGAGCATTATAAATAACTTCTGAAGGGAATGAAACAGAAACCAAACAAAGTCCTGCACTATAACTATGTGTTTACACCTTGGCATTCCTAGATACAATCTGTCCTCCACAGAGGGGCACAATGGCAGAGAAAGACCCTCCAAGGACTGTGGAGTTCTCTGCCATCCCCTCGGATGATGAAGGGTCTCATCTACAAACCATCAGGATGCCTGAAATTCTCTCATGAGAGCCACTCCAGTATCTGTAGCCTCCCCTCTTCAACTGCCACCTTTTGAAATGCATGTGCCCCCAAAGAGCCAAGACAACACACTGGAGTCAGGTGTCAGTGCCACGCAAGGACAGAGAACCCACTGTGCCCGAAGGCCTCCTCGGTCACCAGCTACCTGGCTTTGCACTCACAGTCCTCTGAGACAGGTGCGCAGAGGCTGCAGAGAAGCCAGGGTAACACTCCAGTCTTCCTGCCTGTGCTCTGAGTCCCTCTCATAAAGACATCTAAAGCTACAGGTGCCATCCGGCAGCTGAGGAATGTTTTCCACAGAAATGCATTTGAGTGGGACACACTCCTCAGACCTCTCTGTCACTCTCTCCCTACAGCCTGCTGCTGTAGTCGCGTGCTCTCTGCCTGGTCCCTGAGCACATCGGACTTAGGCACACACCAGCTCCAGTGCATATCGTGATGTCTTATGTCCAAACTGGGCCGTGAATTTTAATTCATCGAAATGTGCATGTCTGGCTTCAGGGTGTTTTGAGGTTAGAGCTGGGAGAGCTGGCCTTGGTCACAGTGTCCTCCTAGAGGTATGAAATATCCTGGAGACACAACACGTTACAGAGAGCATCAGATGTGCCAGTGAGGTTCCTCACAATGGTCTAGGGCAGCACTTTGAGTTGGACATAAATCTGCATCAGGAGACCAGAGGAGGCAAAGGTGTATGTGACTGGTCTACAGAGACAGATGCCACCTTCTCAACTGTAAGACTTCTGCCCATGCAGTGGTATGACAGGTTTGCTCCAGAGATTCTGGGTGGGAAGAGAATTCCACTAACAGCTGTGCAATGCATGGCTTTATCCTGCTCCTGCCATCACTAACATTACTGACAAGTTGCCTGCCAAGGCTGCCTCTCCAAATACTATGTACCTTGGCGGGAAATAAATAAGAATGTTCTTAATGCAGGCTTTCATCAAATGCCCACGCTAGGGATAAAACACGGTGGCCACTGGCAGTAGCTGCTGGATTCAGACTCCCGGAGCCGGTGCTCATCTTATGCAGCATCTGTGTGCCCTGCGTCTGTGTGCCCTGTGTGCACACAAGACCTTCTGTGGACCCGGGCAGGAGCGCTTCTCTAGTGCTCTTCAGGCAGAAGGTCCCTAAGGACAAGACTGCCCTGAATAGCCTAAATGACACACTACTTTCCCTGCCCCCTCTCCTGGTCTGTAAAAGGTTATTTAAGAGGCACACACATGCTTTGAAAGTTAAACGGGGAAATGTGTTAGCTTGAGTTCCCTGATCGCAGATGTGTCCTTCTGGAAGGCAGCTCAGCTGCCATGTGGGGGCTCCGGCTTGACTCGGTTTCACCAATGGGGCAGCCACCAGGAGCCTTCTAGAACCACTCGACCAGCTCACCTGAGGATCATCAAATATTTAAGCTATATAACAAATAAATAATTAGAAGTGACCGCAAAACAGAAGCCACCACTGCGTGTCTACCCGTATCAGCCTGGCCTCAGCTGGAGCCCTTGTTTATTTTGACCTCTAGTGACTGCACCCTCTTTGACTGATGGCAAATAACATTCACCAGGACCTTTCCACTTCCCATTCTAAGCATTCTGCATGACAAAGCTCATTTCTATGTACTCTCTAACAAATATGAGGTTAGTACTATGTTTGTCCTCAATTTTTAAATGAAGTGAAGAAAAGATGTTTGCCCACATTTATTTCCTCAGTGTCCACACAAACCCACCTTCTTTCACTCTAGCACCTCCTATTTGACCACTGTATGGCGTTCCTTCTCTAACCTCCCTGTTCCTGGAACTTTCCATGCCCCATCTTGTTGGCCTGTACTCCGAATCGGTCCCCCTGTGCCTACCTACCTGCTCATGCTGCTGCTCTTACTCCTGTGTGACAGGCATATCCTCCCTGAGCGGCAGCACCTCTACTGTTACCTTAGCTGACTCTCCGCACCCAAGAGGCCCATATCTGGCTTTTAAACCCATCTTAAGGAGCCTGAGCTAATATACAACCTGAAGTTTCCACTCTTCAAAACAGCAATACCTTAAGAAAAGGCAAAAATCCAGATCTTTTTATGTAAAATATTCTAGATTTTAAATCCTGGCAACTAAACTAAAAAGCTAAAACCTATGTAGGTCAAACAAAACATTCTACCATCTGTGTTTCTCACTTTGGAATTTAAAACAAGCCTTGGATCTCAGTAGATGCTCAATAAGCATCCATTAAGTGCACAGATTAAAAACAAAAAAATAGCAAAACAGTACCCACACATTTGATTGAGATACGGTTAGACCCCTCTAATCTAACTTGTGGTCTGCACTTGCTCCAGACTAATCCCCCTCTGGAATGACTAGAAGCATCCTGAAAGCAGGATGATCAAATCAAGGTTGGGAGGAGAAGCAATGGAGCACTTTGGTAGGGAGTTCCGACCAAGGTGAGGCATTAGGGCTTCAGGTAGGGAAGGAGTCAAAAGTCCATACAGGCATGCTGTATCCGTGAGGGACAGTGGAAGAAATTATTCATGGCACAACTTTCAGCCTTTCCAGCCCCCGACCCCACCTTTTTTCTTACTCTGGGGACAAAATATGTTATTTTACTTGGGCAGATATTCTTTTCCATCTTTGGAGCACATCATAGGTAAGGTTGATTTTACCTACAAAATCATTTGATAGACTCATAAAGACTGGGGCCTAATCTTATAGCACCAACTTCGTGATTTTCAAAGTCTTTTCATATCAAGTGTCTTATCCTGTTACTATCCCCATTTTTCTGATGCAGGAACTGGCCTGCCAATATCACACAGCCACTCAGTAATTTCAAGCCCTGAGTCCAGATATTCTGGCTCCAAGATCAGTGTCTTTAACAAAGGAAATGCTGAATTCAGTCCATTGAGTGACAGAAAAGAACTGAGATTGTGACCGCAGAGGGGTGGGTAAGGACTCCAGAAGGAGCACCCACTGGGTGAAGGTGAGGTAGACTACTTTCAGTACACAGCCCCTCACGAGCAGAGGTCAAAGCTCAACCTGAATCCCTTCTATGTGAAGGATATTTGAACAGATTTGGTTCATTTTGTTCAAGTGAGTGCTGGATTTGGGAGATTTTCATGTCTCGGGTGAAAGAGACAAACCAAACTTTAAAGAAAAAAATTAAAAATCTAAACCACCTCTCTGTATGTGACAAAGTGTACAAGAGTAAGAATCGATAGCAAAATCGATCGTAACAGGTCTGTGACAGCCAGTGGCGGCAGTCACACCTAAAAGACGATCTCCTTTCTCAGACTTTATCTGACAGCATGGTGCTGTGGCTCAAAGTGCTTCCAAGTGGATTTTTTTCTTCTAGAATTCTAAAAATATTCAGCTAGGTTAATCTATATATTCACTGTGCTACTATGGTGAGCCACACAGATTTATCTATGGGTAAAAAGTTCACCTGTCACTTAGGAATGGTTGTGAACTGATAACTCCTTCACATTAGGCTGAACCAAAGGAATCCTTTGTTTTATTTTTTAATTTTAATGATCAAAGAACAAAAACATATTAACAAACGCACACATAAGCAAAACAACACAAGCGACACAGAATTTCAGACAAGGTGATAGGAAATTAACAATGGTTGTTGTATTACACATTGTTATCTTCAAATTGGTTACTCAGTTAAACAAACATAGGCCTGTAAGATTGATCAAACTATTAAACATTAACTATTCCTTTCCATAAAGCGATAGAAATTAGTAGTACAATGACCTTAGCTATCCTGTGTATACATATTACATATTTTCCCTTCTTTCTTTCTGTTCTCTTTTCCCTCATCCCAGTTGTCCTTTCCTTTTGAAGTTTCTTTCCCTTTCACAGTACCTATTGTACCTTTTAGATTTTTTTTGTTTTGGTTTGGTTTTTTTTTTGGTTTTTCTCTGGTACCGGGAACCGAACTCATGACCTTGCGCTTGCCAGGCAGGCGCTTTTGCCGCTGAGCTAAATTCCCAGCCCCTGTACCTTTTAGATTTTATTTACCCTCTCAGGTTCTTGCACTAGTGAGACAATATGGTTCCGCTGTCTCAAGTGGGAGCTGTCATTCTGCAGTCAGCCGGGCTATGGTACTGCTTCTGCCTCTGCTGTGTTGTTAGGTGACCCAATGACCTCAGAAAGAGCAACCATAACAGGTTCCTGGAGATCCTTTCCCTCAGGCACTTACAGACCCCTAAACTATCAAGCAAATGACTTATTAGCAAGGCCTTCGGGTACTCAGTGCGTGAGATGGAATTCTCCCAGCCTGTCTCCTACCTTACGCTAATGCTACCAAATCAGAATCAGAGTAGTTTAAATCAAACTGCTTTCAGGAAGCTGCAGTCACACTCATCTAATAACTCTCTCTGTTTTGAAACCAGAGAAGCACACTGGGTAGGATAAATACAACCTATTTTTAGCCAATGCTCTTCTGTGCAGATAAAGTTCAGAGTTTTTGTTGTTGCTCTGAATTTTTTAAAAAAAATTTTCTTGAGAAAGGGCAGTGCTCTTAAGACTAAAGGAAGCTTTCTTAAATCAAACCACCAAGAGGAATGCCCAAACTGTCAATAACTCTCCCTAACTTCACCACCAAAAAATTATACCCCGTCCTCAATGACAGTCCAGACAGATGCACAGAGGGGCCCAGCATGAGTAGGTAGACTCAAAGGGCCAAAATGACCGAGGACATTCCCTATGGCCCTCAAATTCTCTTGTAGACCATTGGCTTTGGGGGAGATAAGCTACCTCCCATGCAACTCATGGCTTTGCATAGCTCCCGTTCATCCTGAACATGGGGGACTGAAATCATGTCAGCATATAGAATCTGTGTGAAGAGGAGGTGTGAAATTGCAGACAGCAGCTTCATCATCTGGCTTCTGAAGCAATGCCCCAGGTCAGGCTTCCAGCCCTGAAATCCAGGCTAGTCTTTCTACTTCTATGACCTGATCAGGTTACTTAACATTTTGTATCTCAATTTCTTACTCTGCAAACTAGAGATAACTAAAATAACTGCCCAGAGTCTTGTTGGGAGAATTAAATGAGTTAATGCATGTAAACTGCTTAGGAGTGTTTGATACATAATATACATTGTGGGGAAGAGTGCTGACAATCTGGTTCCATGGCTAGGCAAACCTTCCTTATTTCCCCCAGAATAGCAAGTTGCCAAATGCCTGTTGCTGGTACCATTTCCACAGCTCTCTGCTGCCCCCTGCTGATCTTCTGTTGGTACAACTTGGTTTTCTCAGCTGAAGATCATTACCTCCCTTCCTTTCAACAGGCTATGAGGATGTTTCATTATTCCAAACAAGCAAGCTCGGATACAGATCATTCCACTTAAATACCATGCCTCTATGCCATGGTTTATGATGTTTCTTCCACCTACCATGCTTTTCCTCCCTCCACATCTCTGTCAAAGCCATGGCATTCCCACAGCCTTCCTGGGCTCCTTCACAGAGTGGGGTTCCTCCTAAGCCATAACCCTGCCAGACATGCAACTCACGCCCGTCACATCTGCTCTTCTGTGCATTATAACTAGTTTTCAAGTTGTCTTACTGCCTCTTACCATTAGATCAAACCATGCCATGCCTCTGCTTTCTTAGCAGCACCCAGGTCACACAATTCCCTTTCCAAAAACGCCTGCTCCACAAGTACTTGTGCGATCAGTGTAGCTGCACTAGTACTCCCCAGCCTAGCTGCTGTCTCTGTGACACCTCCCGCATCATCTCCCACACTCACTGCAGCACTCACTTCTGCAGGGATCCTCCAGACCACCTCCATCCATTCTCCACACTGCAGCCAAGCGCACTGTGGGAGACAGAAGCTGCACCTGGGCAAACTGTCACTGCCTGAGGACTGAGTGAAGGCCTACCTGTAGCACAGATCCTGGTAGAGCTCCTCCCCGAGCCCTCAGCTTCTTCTCAGACCTGCAGACACACTGCTCTTCAAGTTCCTGCGGCACATCGTACCCTCTCCTGTCACAGGGAGTCTTCGAAGCTGCTCCTTCTGTGTGGGAGAGAGTCTCCTACCTCACTCTTTCCCCAGGCCACACTCAGACCTTAGCTCAAACACTACTTCCTTTGAAAACCTTCCTGGATTATCTATACAGGCTCTCATAACAATATCTATGTATCTAACAAAAATTCATCGTGGGCTTAAATTTCAATTTACCTATTTTATTAATGTTTGCCATGCCTATATTATTGCAAGCTTCCTGACAACAGGAGTTGTGTCTGTCTGCCTTTACCACTGCGTGACCAGCCACCAGTGTAATGTTGCATGCACAGCAAATGCACATTTGATAAACAAATTAATCATATTAAACAAAATCTTAGCCCAAGTGTCAGAAGATACATATTAAATCTATCAAGCCCAAAGCCTTATATTTATTCTGTTTCTACCACTCATACTTAGGACATTCAATTATAGATACATAGGCAGCAATGTTTTCTCTGAAACACCCATCTAGAGCCAGAGCGCTACTTCTGAGCTTACCTTCGGTGCTCATATCTGGTGTCGGCAGCCAGATGTAGACCAGGCCTTCTTCTCTATACAGTCTAATCATAGTGTCTGGAGTCATGGGCTCGGGGTAGCGGTTACAGCCTGCAGAATTCTGGACAATATCCCATTCGGTCTGGAAATTCATGACAGCTGTAATCCCCAGTTCGTGCTTCAGTTTGATGGTTACATGTTCCACTTGGCGAGGGCAGCTGCCCAGCCAGATATTTGGTAGAATTCTAACAAGAACAGATGGGGTCAGTTATTATTGATGTTCTGATTTGCAACCTAAGAAACTGCATAAAACATACAGTGTTAAAATTCAATTAGTCTTTCAATCCAACACAAGCAAAGCTGGATTCTTAAGGATATGAGGACCAATACTATTACTGAAGTAAAGAATACTAGGATTGCTGGTTTGGGGAAAACAAGTAATTCAATTAACTAGGATGCCAGGAATTACTAGGCAACAGCAAATCAAATTTAGCAGCACATTACAATAAGTTCACCAAGTTGTATCTATTCCATGAAGCCATAAAATGCACAAAACCCATAAATACATTTCAAATGTTAGCAAATTACAGGTGAAAACTCCTATAATTATCTCAATAAATTCTGAAAAATATTTACTAAATACAGAAGTCACTCGATATTGTGTAAGGGACGGAAACTGCTCAAAAGGAAGGAACTTGGACGAGGGAAAAGAGAAAAGAAAGAAAAAAGGAAAAAATATTTATATATGTATAAACAGGATAGCTAAGATAGTTGTACTACTGATTTCTATTGCTGTATTGAAAGGAACAGTTAATGTTTAATTGTTTGATCAAACTTACATGGCTATATTTGTTTATCTGAGTAACCAATTTGAACAATATGTAATACAACAACCATTGTTAATTTCCTATCACCTTGTCTGAAATTCTGTATTATTTGTACTGTTTTTGTGTTACTTTATAAATGTGTGTGTGTTTGTTAATATTTTTCCATTCTTTTATCTCTAAAATTAATTAAGTAATTAATTAAAAGCTCTATGTATAAAAACTTCAAGGGGCCGGGGATGTAGCTCAGTGGTACAGTGCCTGCCTGGCAAGCACAAGGTCCTGAGTTCAATTCCTGATACCAAAAAAAAAAAAAAAACCTTCAAATAGTACAAGGCCTTTCAAATATGCCAGAGCAGAAACTAACAAAAAACAAACTTCTCTTCAGTAAAATCAAAATCCGGATTATTTCCATTAGGACCTAATATTATTCTTGATGCTTCATCTGATGCTGGGTAAGAAAATGAATGGCAATATTACCACAAGTAAAAAACAGAAAATGTCATCAGTTTTTCAAGAATGATTCTACACCTTGTAGTTCTTAACGCAGAACCCCACATGCAGAGTTCCTGACTCAGGAGGTCTCAGCTGGGTCCAAGGGCCGGGATTTCTAACAAGGTCCCAGGTGATGGCAGCACTGGCTCGGGGCGTAAGTGTGAGATCTGAGTACAGTACACGAGTTATGTGAAACACTTAAATGTGTCAGATCAAGACACCTGCATGAAGGAAAATATACAAAAATCTGTATCTTATTTTATTAGTAGTAGTCAGGAAGAAATGGAGCAGGGGAAACTTACTCAAAAATAGTAACAAACTATAAAGCACGTAGACAAAAAGATCAAAGAAATTTTGATGGAAGGTACTTAAAAACAATAAAATCTAGGTACATATCATACTCTTTAATTGAAAGACAAGAACAAGTGAAAATCACAAAAATGTAAATATTTTACAATATTTAAATTTGAAGCATATTATGATAGTTTATTGCACGTAACATGTGTCATCTGGTTCACTTACTATTTCACATGTATGTATTTGCTCCAGAACAAATGGCTAAATACCACATTTGGGATTTCACTGAATCATGCCTCCTAGAATCCAACTTGGGTCATTATAGGGCATTCAGACAATGGTCTTTAGATAATGATGGTACACATGGCTGACTCTCGCCAGTATTCCCTTCCAGGAATGGAGGACTAACTACCCCCCAACTTCAAAATTAGACATGGCCAGTCAACCATGTTTTGCTCGACGAAGTGTGAGCTGAGGTAATACATGCCATTCTTGAGGAAGGTATTTAATACTGCGTAATGACGATCAATGCTCTCTCCCTGTCATAATGATCGCAAAAGCACCTGTGCGTACTGAGCGGCTAGAAGACTGACCGAAGCCACCTGGAATGGCGAGCGACCTCAGGGACAGCAGCTGTGCTAAAGAACAGCTTGTCATGGTAAGGCGGTTTGGGCGTTGTTATCACAGCATAAATGTGTCTCATTCTGACTAATACAATGCCTAAGCAATAAATTGCTTGTAATTCCTAACATGCAGGAAGGAAATTGAGGGAGAGATTACATTTTTTGATAGTTTCTCACATGAGTTTTGAACACTAGCTCTCTCCTGGGCCAATTTTACTCTGCAGATACTTGACAATAACTATGTAAACATTTTGGATCTTCTCACTAAGTAGTGCTACGTGTGTGTGTTTAGAAGATTAACACCATGGAAGCTGCTGAGACTTCTACGGTAAACACGACAGGTCTCCACAACAAAGAGATATCCGGTCCAAAATGTCAGCAATGCCTTGGTTTGGGAGAACACAAATGATGTAGAACTCCTAACCATTCATTCAGAGGAAGGGACTGTGGAATAGGAGTAGTAGGACAAATCTATCTGACCCAGAGAGTTTGACAATAGCATGATAGACTAAATCATATTTCCATGTGTACATATGCATATAAAGGAAGATTCAGAGAGTAACACAAAAGTGTTATATTAGGCAGCTGTACAGGACTGTATCATTTTCAGTGTGATAATAATAGAAAGAATACTACCACAAGGCAGAAAAAGACAGGTTTCAAGCGCCAATTCTAGCACAATGCTTCCAATAGCAACTGGTAGTGATTTTCTGATGTTATATCAAGTTATCTATCTCTAAGATTTTTGTTGTGCTCATCTTTAGAATGATGGTAAATCACAGGAATTTTGTAAGGAGAAAATTCAATTAAAGTATTACCTGTGGCCGGGGATATAGCTCAGGGGCACAGCGCCTGGCCTGGCAAGTGCAGGGTCCTGAGTTCGATTCCCACTCAAAGTAATAATAATAATTATTATTATTTCAATGGGTCTCACTCTAGTGGATGTACTATAAACAGAAGGGGTATTTATGTCAAATTATGATAATTTACTTATTTTGGTACTTTGTATTATGTTATACTGACCCTTCAGCTAATTTTCATTGATCTCGTAATTCTTTGTTTGAATGCTGCAATGTATATAACACTTACCTATTTTGTTATAAGAATCTAGTTTGTTTTTGCTTCTTGCCTTTTCTTTTTTGACCACTGTTGTCAGGGAGGCTTATAACACAAATATGCAACTGACAAACCCTCAAATGCAGGTATTACTTATCTTCAGTGAAATTTTCTCACAAGATCTGGCACCATCTTCCTAACACTTGAGCTCTACCTACTCTAAAGGAGAAGATCAATCTTTTTTGGCTGCTTAGGTTCTTATCTAAAAGATTTTTTTAAAAAAAAATTTCCTGTGGAAATCCTTATTGAGAATTATTATGGAAAAATAAAAGAATAAAAGACAAAAGTTAGAAACCCGAGAAAGATTTTGTGGCACTGGAAACAAGCACAGGATCCAAAGGCCTTGCGCTTTATTCCTGACACCACAAAACCTGGAGATACTCCACAGACCCTGGAGACTCCGAGAAAGACGATGGGTAGGACATACGTAGGATGTCAGCAGCTGTGATTGACCCGGACTTCGTCAGCTGAGTGGGTCATCTTTGCATGGGTAGAAATGTCACGGGGCCCTGGGTTATCATCACTTCCCTCTGGCCATTGAGGGGAAGCAGGACCTGCTTCAATCTACAAGTTCCATCTCTTTTTCCATTATGCCCTATTCCTCCGCCAGGAACCTGCTGAGTGATCATGGGGTGCTGGCTTGGGGCTCCCATAAATACACACCCTTTGGGACTGTGCTGAGCACCCAAAAGCACCTTATGCTGAAAGAGGAGAACTAGACACCTAAGTTATCAAACCAAGCAATATGACCTATTGAACAGTAATGAATGTTTTACTGGAAAAATCTTAAAGTAGACTAGCAAAAGATTAAAAAGAATATCCATGAAAAGTGAGCTAAACTCCAAATGTTCTCAGAGTTCTCTTGAATATTGCACTTTGAGTGGGTAGCACTTAATACAACTAGTCAATAATTGCAAAAATAAAGTGACGGGCCAATTCTTCATGCAAGATTTGCATAAAAGGTAGGAGCAGTTCATACAAAGAGTAGCAGAATCCCTAAGCGCAGCCCATACACACATAGAATTACGTGATTGTAAAAGAGGTACCATTCTGCCATCTTGCTCTGCTCTGATCTTCAAACGTTTTTTAAAATGAAAACTCAGAACAAGTTAAACATAGACAAACCCTAATTTGGTGCCTTAATATACGTATTTCTTACATTATTTTTCTGATGTAAATATGCCCTTAAAATGCACATCCACATAACCTTATCTTATATAAACACCAGTTTATGTATCAGATATTTCCAACTTTTTCATAACATATTTGACTCCTTCGCCAAATATGCTAGAAGTTAGAGTCCGTACTTAAATGAGTATGAGGTGTTCTGGATCTGGGAGACAGAGAACTCTGCCTTAAACTCTGAAAACAAGCACTGCATGCAAGGGTCGGGGATTAAAGCTACGGTACTGAGCTACTGCACAGGAGGTGGAATGAGGACTAGCCTCACTAGAAACAGGCAAATCAGTGCATTCTGCTTAATCAGACAGCTAAAGCGCCCTTGACATACATCCTATTTTAGTCTGTTTTCTAATAGTATATGATCTATTTCTAGTTACAGGATACACTAGAGGTAACAAGATGCATGACGTACTTTCTAAATAGTAATTAAACTTTCACTTATCACAAGAGAATAATTTGACACCGTTACAAGTCCATTTGTAGCCAGGCACGGTGGCACATGCCTATCATCCCAGCACTCCCACAGGCTGAGGAAGGAGGATCACAGATTCAAGATCAGCATGGGCAACTTGGCATTAGTGAGACTCGTCTTAAAATTTAAAAAATTTTTTTAAAAAGAGAGGGATGTAAGTTAGTGCAAAGGCCCTGTGTTCAATCCCTAATACTGTGGGAAAAAAATCCATACTCATTTCATCTTATAGCTAGTCT